AACAACATTCAGCTGAATACTGGTGTGGAGTTCAGTCTGATCAAGCACACAAGAGCTTCATCACTCCAGTCCTCATCAGTGTTACAGGTGTGGATGGTTTTCTCACTCATATTAATCAATGTGATTAAAAATCACAGCTAGCTTCCATTCAGCAGATCACTATATTGCTTGACTGTGCAAAGGAAGTTGCAGGTTTACACAGAGGGTTATTTTAGTGTTTAACAAAGCAAAGCCATAAACCACAGTTAAAAAGAGAAAGTGTCATTGCAAATTACTTCTTCAGTCTATGCAGTAAAACCTGTTTTGTGTAGAATCATAATGCTGTTCTGCAAATGCATTGGTCAGTGTTTGTGCCTGTCTTATTCTTCATGTCGTTCTACAGTATGTGTATGAATGTACTTGGTTAATTTTATCATGAGCTGTTCAGGTGTTTTTGTTTTGCTGGTACATTCATATTCTCATTTCTGTTCATACAACTTCTCAAAATATCATCACAAGGTGGTTATTAATTCTCTAGATAACGGATTCCCTTTTGTTAATCAGCTGAACTCCTTTGACCTTAAATATTTACTTGAGATTTTAAGTTCATATTTCAATAATTTAACAACACATTTGCATGTTCACGGTTCTCTGACGTTGTTTAATGGTCACATGACACTTTTTTTTTGCTAGTCGCTTAATTTTAATTAATTTTTTTATTTGTTAATTATTTATTTTCTTCTTCGTTATTTAATTATTAGCTTTTCATCAACTTGTGAACCACCAGCTGTCCTGTTGGGGAAATCCTGCAGATCAGCTATTGATGAAGTTACATGTAATTTTCTTGGGAAAGTTAACAGCAGTGTGTGAATTCAGGAACTGGACATCGAGAGACAGTTTTAAAGTGTGTGGTAATTCAGGATTACAGCAGTGTTTGGTGTTGCAGCATTAATGTAGGCCTCAGTATTACTACAGTGCTAGTGTTTTCATTTACAGGTGAACCAAAAGCGACATAATCAGTACTACTATCATCATCATCGACACCTTCATCATCA